GAGGAGGAGGAGGAGGAGGAGGAGGAGGAGGATGTGGAGGAGGAGATGGACGGAGGACGGAGCACGGAGGAGGGAGTAAGAGGAGGAGGAGGCGGAAGAGTAGAAGGAGGAAGAGGAGGAGTGGATGCGGTGGAGGAGGATGAGGAGGAGGAACGGGAGGAGGATGAGGAAGGAGGACGGAGGTGGAGGGATGAGGAGGAGCATGATGAGCAGACGCAGCATGATGATCAGCAGGAGGATGACGAGGAGGAGGAGGAGCAGGATAAGGATGATGATGATGATGATGATAATGATGATGATGATGATGATGATGATATGATGATGATGATGATGATGATGATGATGATGATGATGATGATGATGATGATGATGATGATGATGATGATGATGATGATGATGATGATGATGATGATGATGATGATGATGATGATGATGATGATGATGATGATGATGATGATGATGATGATGATGATGATGATGATGAGGAGGAGGAGGAGGGAGGAGGAGGAGGAGGAGGAGGAGGAGGAGGAGGAGAGGAGGAGGAGGAGTTGGAGGAGGAGGAGGAGGAGGAGCAGGAGCAGGAGGAGGAGGAGGAGGAGGAGGAGCAGGAGGAGGAGGAGCAGGAATAGGTCCTGGGCACCAGGACCAGCGCCCCAGCGGGCGGCCGCTCCCCCGCGGCCGCGCGCTGGGGCGCCGCCGGCAGAGTCGGTGAGGCACAGCCTCGGCAAGCAAAGCGGTGCCATTATTCAGGAGGGGAAAAAACACAGAAACAATTAATCGTCGACTCCCAGAAAATATGGGAAAATATGGGAAGTGGGGGGGAAGACAAAAACCCAGAAAGTATGGGAAAATATGGAGAATCTTTTTATTTGTGTGTATTTCTTTGTGTGTCCCAGGGCCCCTTCAATTATGGCCGGGTCCTCGGCAGGGCTTGCGTCTTTCAGGGCTTCCCGCTAGCTCGGCAGACATGGCGTCGTCTTGGCACTGGAGCAAGCAACAGACGGAGGGAGCTACGTTGTGCTCGCAGGACCCTTGTGAGCACGCCCTCATAGTGCACAGGGTTGCGGCGGAGAGCTGGTGCCGTTTAATTGGACACATGGGGTGCCTCTGGCGGGAGAAGGGCAGCGATGGCAATCGGTCAGGAAGTGGAGGTTCGGTGGAACACGCCAGCTCGGGCTTGTGGAGGAAATTGTCTGAGCGATCGGCAGCCATGGCGGTTTTGCATAGTATATTTTTCGCGCCTGCCCGTCTGAAGGATTCGCAAGCTCTGTCGCCGTGCATGCTCGGGCGCTGCGGGCCTCTTAAAGCCCAGGTACTATGGCCTCGGTGGTGAGCGCATTCCAGATTTGGTTCGCTGGTGCAGCTTGGCGAGTTCGGCTAGCAGGGGGGGGTCGACATAGTCCAGGGTGGTGTCCACTCGTCGTGGTGAGTGGCATGCACAACGTGGGTTCAGGCACCGCTCGAGCGTGGGGGCCTTCGAGCTTCGCAGATGCTGGCCTGTCAGCGTTGCCGGCCCTGGTGCCCTCAGGAGCAAGCGGCTTTGTGCCAGTCCCAGGCTCCATCCGCGACACTCGTGCTTTGCAGCTGCGCTCGGGCGGACAATCAGCGCCGTGCACAGCTAGTGCGCGCGCTTTTTCTGCCGCTGCGTCTCTCCTGTACGCTCTGCGCGTTGTGCTCGTTCGTCTCTGACATGTGTGTGCTGACACTTGTTTCACGCCTGGCCGTCGCGTAGACGGCTCGTCGCGCGCTGTGGTTTGGCACCGCGCGCCGCTGGGTGCCGCGGCTTCTTTCACCGCTCTGCGGCCAAGTGCAGTGGGCCTGTACAGTCGGGGCCCTGAAGAAGGAACCCTTTTCGTTGGGGAGGGGCTCCGTGTTCCTTAAGTGTTTCACAGCTCGCCTCAGGTTTTCCTTATGTTTTTGATCGGAAATCGAAGTTTAACTTCTCGAGAAAAGGGGCCTCGTTCCTTATTTTGGGTTCCTTAGGTCAAGGCCCCGACTGTAATTACCCTCGTCAAGTCTTCCCCACAGCTCCTCCGCATTCTTCATTCGGCCCCCCCCTCCCCTTCTCGAGCCTGCCCTGCTATCCCCTCCCTCTCCACGCCGAGGCTTCCCCCCATCGGCTGGAACTCCTCGTCGGTCCCTTTTTGCCCTCTCGCGTCGCTCTTTTCCCCCCCTCTGGCCACCCGTGACGTCTTCTCACCTCTTGGTCTCCCGTCGCCCCGTGGGTCAGAATGGCGGGCAAGCGGTTCAATTCGGAGGATGGTTTGCCGCACCTTCGTCTGCCCCAAGCCCGCCAGGAGTTCCCTCGAGTCCCCCTCTTTCTCTCTTTTCCCCTCCCATGCACTTCTGGGGCCTCCCCACCGGCGCCGCCCGCCTCTTCTTCTCGTCCCTCTCTGTCATCCTTTCCTCCACCTTCTCCGGCAGCGCCGACGGAAGCCTTCTGGAAGCACGCACGGTCAACATAGCGATGCATGCCTCGCATGTTGATCACGTATCCCAGCGGCGCACTGCCTGCCAAGCAGACCCACGCAGTAGCCAGGGAATGGCGGCTCACGATGGCACGAGCAGCGAAACACTGGACAACGGTCTCTGCACCTAAAACAGCGACGAAGCGGACAGTGGCCCATTGCAGCAAGACCCAGCCGCAACGCCAGCACAGCAGGGGCGACAACGACAGTGCTCGGGAACTCCTGCTCAACGCGTCACGCCGCCAGCTCTGGCCTGCCACGCCTCGGCGCGACACGCGCAGCACGCCCCAGCTCCAAGACGCCACCGCCTCGAGCCCTTCCCCAGCCTCCTGCCCCGCGGAGGGGGAGCGACGCGCTGTCCGCTCGCAGGGCATGGTGTGTTTGTCGCCGGGGCCGCCTGCGCGGCGCGCTGCGCACCAGTTCCCCGGCCGCGGGCCGAGGCAGGCCCTGGGACGCCCGCCTCCGGCGCGCCACAGGCGCGCAGAGGGCCTCGTCGGCCACCGCCGGACGGGCCGCTGGGCAGCGCCGCGCGCACGGAGCTCCCGAGGCGTGGACTCCAACCCTCCTCCAACCCTCCTCCTCCTCCTCCTCCTCCTCCTCCTCCTCATCCTCCTCTTCCTCAGTCTCGCCGACCGCGGGCGCGCGGGCGTGGCGAGACCTGCGCGGGCAACCAGGCGCACAGCGCGCGCCAGCGCGGCCTGCGACGGCACGGGCGGCCGGCGCTGGTGCTGGGGCGACGGGGCAGGCGGCTGCCCTCGTCAGCGCAGACCAGGCCTCCACCCCGCGCGCACGCCTGCCGGCGCGGAAGGCGAATCGGCCGACCTCACATGGGCGCGAACGGCCCAGGACGTCATTGCATGGTCGACGCTCGAGCACCAGAGCGCCGACTCGACTCCGCACGAGCAAGCGTTGAAGATCACGAACGGGCACGCCCAGCGAGCACAAGCATGTATACAGCGAGAGCCGACACTGACGCCCAGAATTTCCTGCTTCGCCCCCTCCTATGTTTACGGTCTCGCCCTTGGTACGAGCTCACCCACCTGGTCCTAGCCATGCCCAGACGATGCCCGCAACGGTGCGCTCTCCTCCTCTTAATCCTCTTCGTATTTGCTCTCCTCGTCTTTCTCGCTCCCTACACCTACATCCTTCCTCTCGCTCTCTCCTCCCTCCTCTTTGCCCTTGGCGTCCTCGCCCGGCTCCTCCTCCTCTCTCTTGCCCCGTTATCCGTCCTCCATTTCTTTCCTCCATCCTACTGTTCCCTCCTCCCTCGTCCCTCCTTCTTCTTTCTCCCTCGATCCTCCCTCCTCCTCCTCCTCCTCCTCCTCTTCCTCCTTCCCCCTTCCTTTTCTGATGCCTCCTCCTCTTTCTCCCCACCTCCTCTCTATCCTCCATCTCTGGCCACAGTGTCAGTCTAGTGACCAACTGTCATGTGGTGTGTCCTGTGGTGTCGGGTCCTCATTTTGAAGAGACAGCGCCCCGCGTCTCTGCTCTCCTCTCCTTTCCTCTCCCCTCCCCTCCCCTCCCCTCCCCTCCCCTCCTCGCCTCTCCTCTCCTCTCCTTTCCTCTCCTTTCCTCTGGTTCTCCTCCCGCTCCTCCCTCCTACCACCCTTGCCTCTGCCCTCCGCATGTCCTCACCATCATCATCGTCATCGTCGCCGTCACATCCCCTCCTCTTTCGCGTGTCTGCTTCGGCAGATCCCTCACACGTTTCGTGGCCCCACAGGGAGCTCCACCGAAGGCCCCAGTGACTGCGTCCATATGCAGCCACCCCCCTCACTTTGGTACACCGCTCACATGTCTCGTGGCCCCACACGGGGCTCTGCCGAAGGCCCCAGTGGCTGCGCCCGCAGGCCGCCTCCCCCCTTGACTTCGGCAACCCCCCTGACACTCTTCGCGGCCCCATGGGGAGAGGCCCCAGTGGTGGCGTTCGTACGCCGCCAGCCCCCCTCACCTTGGCACACCCCTCACACGTTGTGTGGCCCCGTGGGGAGCTCCACCGAAGGCCCCCGTGGCTGCGTCCACATGCCTCCCCTCCTCTCGTTGGCACACCCCTGACACGTTTCGCGGCCCCACAGGGAGCTCCACCGAAGGCCCCAGTGGCTGTGTTCGCATGCCGCCACCCCCATCACTTCGGCACACCTCTCACACGTTTCGCGGCCTTATAAGGAGCTCCAGCTAAGGCCCCATTGGTTGTGCCCGCTTGCCCTCTCCCGCTTCTTCCGGTGCCTGTCAGCCGCAACGGGTTACATCAGCATGTAACCCATTTCGGCTGACCTCCATGCCCTCTGCGGGCGGTCCTAACGGCAGCGCCCGTATGGTGGCCCCGCCCCATTTCGGCGCTCCCTTCACGCGTTTCATGGCCCCGTATGGAGCTCCACCGAAGGCGATTCTCACAACGGCGGTACTCACAACTGCATATGGTTGGGTCTTTCGCCAGGATATTTTCGGTGGTCTCCGCGCGGAGGGTACACAAAGCGGGGGGGCTCTTCCCGGCAGGCGAGGGTATGCGAGTTCTTCGAGGCGATGGAGACGAAGGCCGGCGGGCTGGCGCGCGAATCCCGTGAGGTTCGGAGTGCTCAGGGGACCCCCTCAAGGCCAGGTTGATCGTGTAAGTTTGAGAGTTGCTGTCATTAGTGGCTAGGACCGATGGTGGTCGTCCAAGCACGGTGGTTGCCAGTCACGTGCGCAGGCGTCGGCCCAGTCTAGTTTTTGCTTGGCGCCTCTTTGTGCAGTCTACGGTGGCCCAGTCACAATCTAGGGTATGTATCAGAGGTTGTTTTGAGACGTACGCGGCTGAGGGCCGTCTATGGTGGTCTGCCAGCTGATTGTTTGGTGGACACTATCCACGCGATGTGGCTCGCAACCGCCAGTCCGTCCTTGGCTCAGTTTTCGAACGAAGCTTTGTGCCAGTAGGGGCGTCGCGAAGTTTGGCTTCGACTCGAATGGCATACTGGTTGGGAATCATTGCCAGGACGGATTGCGCGACGGATTCGACGGAGTGCGAACAGGAAGCGAGATAATGCTTTTCATGTAGAGAGCGACAACTACAGTAGGTCATATTGCGGACTCGGCAACGATGTGGCCGAACGCAATTGATCCGCTTATATGTTCAAGTGGCTCACGCCATTCCGCCGACCTCCAGGAGAGAACCGAAGTCCACGGGTGATGCCTTTTGCTTCTGAAGATTCCAATGGGCTGCCTCCCCCCTGGGTGGTCCAGTGCGTCCGCACGGACCTTTGGGCAACACACTCGGCGCGGCCAGCCTGGGGCGCTCGAGAGACCCTCACAGAAAACTCGAGACCCCGCTGGCCGACGCACCAGACCCACCAGGGAGGGAGGGCGGGGACGCTGGCGACGCCAGCAACAAGCCCACGGCCTGCAGACGACGCAATGTCCTGCCAAGCACTTTCCTGGGGCACCACGGGCGGCACCGAGGCGCCACCTTAACTGCGACGGGGCCCTCAGAGAACCCCTGCGAACCACCACGGGGGCCCTGGGACCCCTGGCGCCGCAGAGACGCCGCCTGCGAGCAACAGAAGAGGGGAACCTCAGAGGGCCCCTGGGAGCCCCCGCGGGAGCAAGCGAGACTGCCTCGGCAGCGAATGCCGACACTTGATGCCCCGCCTCGGACACGGGCTGAAGGAGGACCGACCTGGAGCGACGAGTCTGCGAATCCAGCCATGGCGACAAGGGATGTAGCCTGCCTGGAATCTTCCTCCCCAGGAACCACGTTCAGGGACGATGAAGATTCCAGTGGGCTGCCTCCCCCCTGGGTGGTGCAGTGCGCCCGCACGGACCTTTGGGCAACACACTCGGTGCGGCCAGCCTGGGGTGCTCGAGAGACCCTCGCAGAAAACTTGAGACCCACTGCTGGGGCTCACGCCGATCCAGGCCACAACCCCACTGCTGGCGACGTGACCGCAGCCTCCGCCTGGCGCAACACTGAACGCGGTGCCGCGGAGGGCGCCCGGGAACGGCGGAATGGAAGGCGCCAGCCCTATGCGCAGGCGAAGCGGACCAACGCAAGAGCCGTCCTTCTCTTTCTGGCTCAGGGCAGAGGCGCACCCTCGGACGCAGACGACTCCGAGAACTCGACGGGCCACTCCGCCGCAGTCGCCGCGTTCCGTGACGCCGCCGAGGCGTAACCGAAGGCGGCCACCCCGCGCCATCCCCCGCTGTGGAACAGTGCCGGGACGCCCCCGGCAGCCAGGCACTCGTCGGCCCACCCGCGGCGAAAGGCATGGGTGCCCCATTCTGCGGCTCGCGCGAACCCCAACGCCAGCGCCGCAACCTTCACCTGGGACAGGGCGTGCCTGTAGGACAGCGCCAGGAACATCTGGCCTGCCTGAACACGGCCATGAAATACGCACACTCCGCAAAGCTGCCGTGACTGCAGGGCGCAGATGCACCGCCTGGACACGATCGTTGTCTCCGAGAACGTCTTGCGCCTATGCAGATGCACGCTCGTCGTCGGCAGGCCGCCTTCAGTGGACAGGACCACCTTGGAGTGGGGCCCGTCTGCTTGCAGGGGCACCAGCTCGGAAGCGAAACGGAAACAGAACTGCCTGGCCACCACGAAGGCATCCGCGCGCCAAGCATGACGTGTACTGCAAGCACCCCAGCGGCATGTGGAGCAGCCCGAGCACGGTGCGGATCTGCGCGCAGTGCGTCATCAGACTGGCCCCGCTCTGCACTGCAGAAGCGAACGCCCCCAGCACAGGCTCCGGTGGGGGCCAGGGTTCCACCCCGAGGTTCCGGGCCACTTGCCCCCACAGGCGCACTGGAGAGGCATACTTGTATGCGCTGCGATGCCACGCAAGGAACTCGCGCCTGAGGAGTTCCTGCGCTGCCATGAACCCTGCCATCTCGGGCCTGATATGGGCCGCGCGTTCCCGGGGGGTGCTGGGGGTGACCCCGTGGCGCTTCTCGCACGCATGGGGCAGTTCCTCCGGCGTGACGCGGCCCAACGCTTGCACCGCGTCCGCCAGCTCCCCGGGCGCCACGACCTCGCGCCGGAGGCGTGCTGCGGCGAGGAACCCGAGCGCCGCCAACGTCGCATCGCCGACCTCTGCAGCAAGTCCGGACTCTGGCGCCTTGTCCCCCGGTTGCGCCTGATTGCCTGCCCCCGGCGCTCCGCCAGGCGGCGGCGCGGGCGCGGCCCGCGGAACGCGGGCTCCTGCTCGCGCAGAGGGCGCCCCCGCCGCGGCGGGCGGGCCGACCTGGTGGACAAGGCCGCCACGAACTCGCCTCGGAGGTCGCGGAGGCACGGCCACACCTCCTCCAGCTCCTGGACGCCCAGACCGGAAAGCTCCGTTCCATCAACGGCGCCGCCAGCAGCCAGCTCCCCCAAGACGCACCGGGGCGACTGCGGATGGCACTCAGGAGGCGCGCGCCGGAGCACGGCGGCGAACCACTCGCTCAGGGCCGGCGGGGCCATTGGCGGCGCAGCCAGGCTTGCTGGCCACGCGCGCGGGGCCAGAGCCGGGCCACCATCGCCGCCAGGCTGCTTCCCCCGCAAATGTTTCCGGTCCATCTTGGGCCGAGATGGCTACGGATGGTGGCGCGCACGGCGCGTCGGGGCGCCCCGGGCGCCCGAAGTCCAAAGTTGACCCCGGACGGATGGCGAGACGCGCGCGGCCCTCCCTTTGTGGAGCCACCGAGAGGGCTCCTGGACACCGCAGAGAGCGCCACGGCGGCAGGCGGACCGACGACAATCAATGGACAATGGACCAGCTCTTTTTTCCATCTTTTCTTCCGGCGCACCGCGCTGCTCTCCCGCGTGCGGATCCAGCCATGGTGACAAGGGATGTAGCGTGCCTGGAATCTTCCTCCCCAGGAACCACGTTCAGGGACGATTGGGAACCGTTTGAGGGGCCAAGTGGGGCATTTTGGGGCAGATGGGGGCCTCTTGGAGACTCTTGGGGGTCTGTTGAGCGCCTGCTGGTGGTCTCGGGGGTCATCTTGGGGTGGAGGGCTCGACATGGCAGTTCGAGTTCCCCCTCTTGGGCCCCTCTTGAGGCTCTTTTGGAGCCCTTTTGGGCCTTTTTGGGCGCCTCTTTGGCTGTTCAGGGGCTCGCTTGGGCCGTCTTGGGTGCCCCTTAGGGACCTCTCGGGCCGTCCTGCAGCGATCCTGGGGATTTCTTGGACCGCTTTGGACGCTAACCAACCAGGTGAGTATGCTAAATACGTAGGTTTTCGATTTTGGCATTTTCGGTCTCTCTTTGATGTCCTCTTGGAGCTATCTTGGGCCGTTTCGGAGGCTTCTTGGATCGTGTTGAGGGTATCTTGGTTGTTTTCCCCATACCCCAAGAAAGGGGTTGTTATTCCCCATATCCCAAGGTGGGGCTCCTGCAATTACTCAGAGCGCGCCGACACCTCACGCTCCTCACCTCCCTTCTCCTCTTCCTCCCTGACATTCAAGCCCACTAACACTCAGGCTCACTCATATTCAGACTCACTCGTACGCAATCGCGCACTCACGCTCAGACTCACTCACTCTCAGGCCCACTCATATTCAGACCCACACTCAGGCTCACTCACACTCAGACTCGCCCGCATTCAGGTTCACTCATACCCAGAGTCATTCACACGCAGACCCAGTCATACTGATTCAGACTCGGTCACACCACTTCCCCATTCAGACACGCTCCTGCCCAGAGACATTCGCACACACGTTCCGAGGACGTCTCGGCCGAGGCGCCGGTTTCAGCACTCCTAAGAGGGGGGGCCGCCAGGGGTCAGGACGCGCCATGGCTCGCACCGCAGACTCTGGGGATGTCGTTTCAGGCGGTCTGCTCGGCTGCGTGCTCAACAGGCAGACTGTGAGGATGGCTCAGGGGAGGCGCTGGTGGTAGCACTCTGGGGGTGGGGTGGGTGGGGGGGGGGCGGGGGGGCGCCAGGGGTCACGACATCCCAGGGTTCCCGCCCAGACTGTGGGGACGTCTCGGGCGGTCTGCTCTTCATCCCGTGCTCTCGTCGCAGACTGGGGGGATGTCTCGGGCGAGGCGCTGGTCTCAGCACTCCAAGTGGGGGGGGGGGCGCCAGGGGTGGGGACGCTCCAGGGTTCGCGCCCAGATCGTTGGGATGTCTCGGGCGGTTTGCCTGTTGCGGGCCGTGGCATCCTGTACTTTCGCAGCAGAGTCTGAGGATGCCTCGGGCGACGCGCTGGTTTCAGCGCTCCCACGGGGGGGGCGCCTGGGTTGGGGACGCTCACATTCAGGTTTGCTCACATTCAGATTTGCTCACACTCAGACTCACTCACACTTAGGCCCGCCCATATTCATATTCACTCATACTCAGATTCTCTCATACCTGGACTCACTCACGCTCGAACTCAAGCATTCCTGGGCTCACTCACACTCAGACCTGCTTGCACTCCAATCGCGCACATTCAGATCACCCACGTATCCTCACCTCCTTCCTCCTCGCACTCAGATTCGCCCGCTCTCAGACTCACTCACACTCAGACTCATGCGTTCTCAGGCTAACGCACACCGAGACCAACTCACACTCAGTCTCACTCATAAAGAGACTCACTCACGCTCGTACTCATTCGCAGTCAGAGTCATTTGTATTCAGACTTACGCACACACATACACACACTCACTTAGACTCACTCGCAGTCAGACCCACCCACACTCAGACTCACGCGCACTCAGACGCAGACTCGTCAACCTGATGTTCAAACCCACTCACTTTCATTATTGCTCGCGCTCAGTCTCAGTTTCGCTCACTGTCAGACTCACTCGTATTCATATTGAGTCATACTCTGACGTGCCCGTATTACGACTCCTTCATGCGTAGGCCCACTCACACTCGAGCCCACATAACCATATTCAGACTCACTCATTCCCCGACGCACTCGTACTTCAGACTCATTCACATTCAGATTCGCTCGCGGTCAGGTCCATGCGCACTTAGATAATCTCGCATTCGGATGCACTCTCATTCAGAATCGCCAACCCTCAGAATCACTCATGCGCAAAGCCACTCGTAGTCAAACTCGCTCATGGTCAGACTTGTACCCGTCGTACTCATATTCGGACTCACTCACATTCGGACTTATTCAGACTCACTCAAGTCCATATTCTCTCAAACTCAGACTCGCTCACACTCAGACCCGCTCGCACGCATATTCACTCGTACTCAAACTCATGCTCGTCACTCGTACTCGGGCCCGCTCACACCTAGACCTGCTCACACTAAGACTCGCGCACGCTCAGACTCACTCACACCTCAGCCCACTCACATTCAGACTCATTCATACCCAGGCCCTCTCATACCCAGGCTTACCCACACGCAAACTCGATTATTCCTGGGATCACTCGCTCTCAGACTCATTCGCGCTCCAAGCACTCACACTCAGATCACTCACGCCTGCTCACCTCCCTTTTCCTCTTCCTCCGTCACATTCAGGCTCACCCGTACTCAGGCTCAGCCATTTTCAGGCTCACTCGCATTCATAACCACTCGCACCCAGACTCACGTGTGACGAGACTCACTCACACGCAGACTCACCCACACCCAGACCCATTCATACTCAGACACACACGCACTCAGACTCACTCGCACCCAGACCCTCTCACATTCAGACTCACGCGTGCTCAGACCCAAGTTCGTCAAGCTCATACCCAGACCCTTTCACACCCAGACTTGCTCACCTTCAGACGCCGTCCACACTTAAATTCTTTCATACTCAGACTCACACCCGCCCGTACTCAGACCCTCGCATACCTAGTTCCACCCACGCTCAGACCCATGGCACTCATATTACTTGCGCTCAGATGTACCCACAGTCTTTTCTATTCGGACTGGTCATTGCTCCCTCGCTCTTCACTTGTGTTTCGCTCATATTTCGTGACAGGTATCCAGATGAGGAGGAGGAGGAGGAGGAGGACGTCACTGAAGTCGTCGCTGTCGTCGCCGTCGTCGTCGCGTCCGTCGTCTACGCGGACTCGCCCTCACACCCAGATACTCGCAAACTGCCTTTTTCAGCGATGCGTAACAGGAGCATGATTTGCACACATGGACATCACCGCGCCGACCAATTATACTCAGGCCGTGTCGACTCCTTCTCCTCTTTCCTCCTCTTCCTCCCGTACTCTCAAACGCGCTCGCGCTCATCTAGCATTCAGACTCACTTGTACTCATATTCACTCATACTCAGACCGACTCGCATTCCGACGCACCCATAGTCAGACCCACTCACACTCAGACTCCACCGCAAGCCGACCCGCCCATACTCCGATTCATTTGCACTCGGACTCACTCTTAGTCAGACTCATTCATACCCAGACACACGCACACTCATACCCACTCGCGTCAAGCCCACTCACGCTCAAAGTCGCTCGCACTCAGCCCCACTCATTGTCGGATTCACTCGTACTCAGTTTCGCTCGCCCCAATCCATGCTCAGCTACATACTTCCTTCATTCAGACTCATTCATAGTCAGAACCCTTCAGGCCATACGCAGATTCTGGGGTTATGTCCGGCGAGGCGCTGGTGTCAGCACTCCTAAAGGGGGGCGCCAGGGCTCAGTACACTCCATGATTTGCGCCCAGATTGTGGGAGGGTGTCGGGAGGTTTGCTCATTTGCGTGCTCGACATCTTCTGGTTCCCGAGCAAATGGTGCTGATGTCTCAGGCGAGGTGCTGGTTTTAGTACCTCGAATGGGGGGGGGCGCCACAATCTGGGCGCGAATCCTGGAATGTCATGACCCTTGGCGCCCCCCCCCTTCGGAGTGCTAAAGCCAGCGCCTCGCCTGGGACATCCTCCGAATCTGCTCCGAAACAAGAGAATGGCTGAGCACGCAAACGAGCAATGCGCCTGCGACAAACCCACAATCTGGGTGCGAACATGTGAATGTCCTGACCCTTGGAGCCCTCCAGTCGGAGAGCTGAAACCAGCGCCTCGTCTGAAACATTCTCAAAGGCTGCTCCGAAACCAGAGGGTGGTGATCACACAAACGAGCAGTTTGCCTGAGACATCCCCACAATCTGGGCACGAATCCTGGACTGTATGTGTCAGGCGGTTTGTTCGTTTGCGTGCTCAGTCGTTTTCCTGTTTCGGAACAGATTTTGAGGATATCTCAAGCGAGGCGGTGGCTTTAAGCATTCCGAACGGTGGGCGCCAGGGGTCAGGATATTCAAGGGATCGCACCCAGATTGTGGTTTGTCTCAGGCGGTTTGCCTGTTTTGGTGGCCAGCATCCTCTGGCTTCGGAACAGACTGTGAGGATTTCTCAGGCAAGGCGCTGGTCTCAACACTCCTAGCGGGGAGCCGCGAGGGGGTATGATACGGGCCCTTTCGCGCCCAGATTGTGGGAATGTCTCATGCGGTTTGCGTGTTTTGGTGGCCAACATCCTTTGCGTTCGGAGCAGATCGTGAGGATGTCTCAGGCGAGGCGCTGGTTTCAGTACCCCAAGTGGGGCCTACCCCCTCTCACTCTTTCACTCTCTCTCTCTCTCTCCATCTCTCCCTCTCTCTCTATCTCTCCTCCTCTCATACCGCATCATTGCGAATATTGAGAGGGCCAAGCTGCATGGCGCGAAGCGCCGTTGCACTCTGGTGTGTATACTTATATACTTATACGCATGTGTACCGTTTCTGTGTGTCTACGCACGCATACGTGTGTAGGTTGAGGTGACGCTGACGGCGATGCAGCTCAAACAATCATCCTGCTTGGTATGAAGGGCAACATGCGGTTTGCATTGCACACCCATCCAAGTAAATACGACCGATCGCAGCACGAACATGACCTTAGCGCCGATGACGCAGCCCTACCACCACTGTACGGCCAGACCAGATGCACAGGCGATATGATGTGCTGCTGATTCTTGTGGGGGCTGCGTGCAGTCAGTTGTCACTCTGCTCCCGTTCTCCTCCCTCGCCTGGGATTTCAGGACAAGTATTACGTGGTGATGGAAAAGGTGGACGGCCAGGACCTCTTCGAGCAGATGGCGCAGGAACCGTGGAGTCCGAGGGGGGACCAAAAGGGAAGGCAGCCGCCGGCGTCCTCCCCCACGGGTCTCGCCGTGGCCTCGGGTGTGAAGATGTTGCAGTCCATGCTGGTGGTGACGCCCGCCTCTCTCTACCTCTAACCCTCATTGTGCGCTGCCCTCAAGGCGCACGCGTCTTTGGGGGGTATCCCGACTCCTAGTGCGGGCTCTGTCCCCCCGGGGGCAGGCACATGTAGATAGACTCTCAGGCACGCTCATCCCTTCCACACCGGGAGCCAGCCAGACGCTTCGAGGCGACGCGGAGCGCGAGCCCAGTGGCCCTGCCGCGCAGGCGGGGCCCAACGGCAAGCTCGACGGCGCCGTGGAAGGACTCGGCAGGAGAAGATGGCTTGGGGTAGGCGTCCAGTGTCCAGCGCTGCAGCCATCGGTCACCCGCCGGCGCGAGCACTTCCCATGGCCCGCAGCCCGAGAGTCCAGCTCTCCGTCTCCCTCTTTCCTCGCCCCCTCTTCCCTCCATCTGTCCGCTTCTCTCTCCTCTTTGCGCAGCAGCGCCGCCCGCATTCGAGCGGCGCATGTGCAAGGAGGGAAATCTGCACAAGCGCAAACTGACCCGTCCTGCTCTGCTCCCCCTGGATGTGCAGAGGCTGCCCAGCAGGCCGCGGCAGCGGAAGAGACAACGGCGTATGCATAATCTGCGATCGCCGCCAGTTCCAAAGTGATGGGGCGGGGACTCCACAAGCGAGCACTAGGCACTCTTACCGCTGCCGCTGCCCCTCCCGCTCCCCCCCAACTGCGCCGTGAGAGTGGCCAGGTAGTCGGCGCTGCGCGTATGTGCGGGCCACCGGCGCGTCCGGCCACACGGGTTGGCGTGCGAAACGCGATCGGGGCGCCACGGTCTGTTCGAGCGACGCTGGCGCGAGCGCACACGAGGAGCATGGGGAGGGTAAGGCAGCAGATCGGCATGTTGGCATGTTTCTGGTGTTCACCTCGTGGACTTCGCGTGTGTCCAGTGTCCGCCTCTCGGTGGGCATTGTCGCGAGTGAATCTCTCTCGCCCCCTTCCTCCTCCTTTCCTTCCACCTCCTTCTCCTCCGCCTCCCCATCACTTCAGCACCGAGCAGCTTGCCTCGGTTCTGGCTCTGCACACTGCCTGTGCGGGGCGGCTACTTTGGCAGCGACTTCGCACATCTGCTCGCGCCTGGCAGCGCCAATTCCATGAGGGGGCAGGGGGAGAATGATGGGGGGGCAGGAGGCGGGGGATGAGTCAGGGATGGCTTTCGGGTGCCTTAGGGGCTGTTTCGGGAGCTTTTTGGTAACAGCAGAATCAAGCGGTATGAAGCCGTACGTAGCTTTTTGGGAGCCTTCTTCAAACAAACACATTGTGCATTTACGATGGCCCCCGCTCGTCGGCGTCTCCGGTCTACGAGCCTCTGAGTGAGGCCTTGACGCCCAGAGGGCGGCCGAAGTTGGGACCCGGGTGAGGGGGGGTCGGGGGAGGGGTAGGCCCTTCCCCCGGGGATCCGCTCGAAGGTCGCAGGGGGCATGCCGGGGCGCACTTCGAGGGCCTCCGGCAGCCCATGGTCAGGGGCGGAAAAGAGGGGGGTAATGACTAGGGGGGGTGGATATCATGGCGGGGGCCATGATATTTCCCCAGATTTTATGGCGCCTCTTATTTCATTACGTCCCTGGCCCCCCCGCTGGGCCGCGCACATGCCGCCGGTCATGATTTGTAACCCCCCCTCTTGGACACCCCCCTCTTGGCCGCTTCCGACCCTTGGGGGCCGCTGGGACCGTGAGAACTGGACGGGCGGCGCACAACGGGGCGATCGCATCCCGAAGAGCAGATCCCTCGATGGCCAGATCGCGAGCGCGAGCGGCATCAAGGGCCGCACGCCTACGGCGCCCGGCCGCACCGCCAGCACCCCGAGCTTCGTCGGCCACGTCGGCAGAGGGCACAGCGGCCGAGAAGCGCGGCGAAGGCGTCTGGCAGGCATCCTTCGACCCTGGCGTCTTGGCTCCTGATCCGGTGGGATACCCTCCCATGGAGGAGGAGGAGGAGGAGGAGGAGGAGGAGGAGGAGGAGGAGGAGGAGGAGGAGGGAGGAGGAGGAAGGAGGAGGAGGAGGAGGAAGAGGATGATGAGGAGGAGGAGGAGGAGAAGGAGGAGGAGGAGGAGGAGGAGGAGAGGAGGAGGAGGAGGAGGAGGAGGAGGAGGAGGAGGAGGAGGAGGAGGAGGAGGAGAGGAGGAGGAGCGAGGAGGAGCGAGGAGGAGCGAGGAGGAGCGAGGAGGAGCGAGGAGGAGCGAGGAGGAAGCGAGGAGGAGCGAGAGGAGGAGCGAGGAGGAGCGAGGAGGAGGAGGAGGAGGAGGAGGAGGAGGAGGAGGAGGAGGAGGGAGGAGGAGGAGGAGGAGGAGGAGGAGGAGGAGGAGGAGGAGGAGGAGGAGGAGGAGGAGGAGGAGGAGGAGGAGGAGGAGGAGGAGGAGGAGGAGGAGGAGGAGGAGGAGGAGGAGGAGGAGGAGGAGGAGGAGGAGGAGGAGGAGGAGGAGTAGGAGGAGAGGAGGAGGAGGAGAGGAGGAGGAGGAGGAGGAGGAGGAGCGAGGAGGAGCGAGGAGGAGCGAGGAGGAGGAGGAGGAGAGGAGGAGGAGGAGGAGGAGGAGGAGTAGGAGGAGGAGGAGGAGGAGGGCCCCGCGGCGGCCTCGCCCGAGGAGCGGCCCACGCACGCGGACGCGCGCGAGATCACTGGGCAGATCCTGGCGGCGCTGGCGGGCCTGCACGGCTGCGGCCGGATCCACAAGGCGCCCTTGTCGGGAGGAGCAGGAGGAGGAGGAGGAGGAGGAGGAGGAGGAGGAGGAGGAGGAGGAGGAGCAGGAGCAGGAGGAGGAGGGGCGGCGGGGGTGTGCGCCCACCCAGACCTCCTCGCGTCGTGAAGGACATCACGCTGGGAGGTCTTTCTACATCTTCGGCCCCCGGGGGGGGGCGCTTCCCGGGCCTCGGGAGCGTCGAACAACGGCTCGGGATGAGAGTCTGGTCCCCGGGAGGAGGTCCTGACCTCTGGGTGTCGAGGTTGCGAAGAAGTCATGGCGTCGGGGGTCTTGGTAATGGCCTTCGGCCCATCCCGCCGCCGTGCCCGGGTTGTGGGTCAGAGTTCGCAGGGGTGCTTCTCCAGGAGATGTGGCAGTTTCGGTTCTGGGCCTCTTGAAGAACTCTGCAGGGCTGAGGACTGAGGACCAGGGGATTGGGCAAAGGGCTTGAGGACACGCCCATTCCGTGCCCAGAGGCATGGTGGCGTGCTTACCTCGAGGAGGAACACTCGGCACAGATCTGAACTTTTGGAGCTCGCGCGGATTTCTTGCACCCACGGTGGGCCCCCCTCCCTGGCGCGCGGAGCGCGCCAGGCGCGGCGCCGGAGGCGCCGCTACGGGGCCCCAGCGCAGATCCAAGAAATCCGCGCGGAGCTCCGAAAGTTCATGTTCTTGCAGCTTGCTCTCTGGCGGCACCCCCGTTCCATCTTCCCGTCGCCGGCGCAGACGCCCCCTGCCCGGCCAGCCGACGCAGAAAAAGCTTATGCAGTTTCTGCGTCCTCTGCTTGGCATCGCTCGGACGTGCGCATTTTCGCTTCGGCGAGGACCATCGAGCAGCATCCTCGATATCATTTGGCGAAAAAACCACGTACGAAACCGAACAAAAACACAGGGAATGGACGTCCGAGCGATGGCCAGACAATTGTATACATGATGAGTGCAAACCTCCTCTCTCCCCTGATTCCGTCTGGAAGGTAGCTGACTCTCTCCGCGTTTTGCCTTATGCGCAGAATTAGACAACGGTGGTCTTCTTTCGTGTTCTGACACAGTCCGATTGTTTTCGGTACCTCAAGCTGATGCTCCCGCTGCACCGCGGGCCTCATTTTCGGACCGGCCCCAGCGGACCGGCCCCAGCGTGTCCGCTGCCCCTGCTCTGGCCCGCCCTGGGCCCAGCAGAGGGGTGGCCGCGCCTCCCCGGCCACGCCATGGAGGGCGCGCACGCGCCGCTCCTCCGGGGCCCCAGTGGTGTGGGGGGCTGGCCCGGGGGGGGGCGGTGGGCGTGCACGGGTCATGAGGAGGAGGAGGAGGAGGAGGAGGAGGAGGAGGAGGATGAGGAGGAGGAGGAGGAGGAGGAGGAGGAGGAGGAGGGAGGAGGAGGGAGGGGGAGGAGGGGGAGGAGGAGGAGGAGGAGGAGGAGGAGGAGGAGGAGGAGGAGGAGGAGGAGGAGGAGGAGGAGGAGGAGGAGGGGACGGACGTCGCTCCCCAGGAGAGTGGGGAGGGAAAGGTGTCGGGGGCGGCAAAGGGGGGGTGATGACTAGAGGGGGGGGGGATATCGTGGCGGGGGCCATGGTACTTCCCAGATTTCATAGCGCCTCTTCTTATTCCATTACGTCCCTGGGGCCCCCGCTGGGCCGCGCACATGCCGCCGGTCATGATTTGCACCCCCCCCTCTTTGGCGCCCCCCTCTTTGCCGCTCCCGAAGGTGGGACGTGGAGGGGAACACGAGAATCGAGAATCTGGGACAAGTGCGAGGACTCCTGGGGAGGGGACGTGGATGGGGAACACGAGAATCGAGAATTCGGGACAAGCGCCAGGGATCCTGGGGCAAGTCTCGTCGCCCTGCCTGGGATCGCGCCCCCGCCCTCGCCGCGAGGGGGGCGGGTCCTGTGGCCGGCGGGCCCCCTCGCGGGGCAGAGGCCCGAGGCTCCGAGGGACTGGAGCGGCCGGCCTGCTGCCAGTTTTGGCCTCGTTGGCTTCGCTCGGCCGCGTTTTTTTTGGTTTTTTTTGTTGTTGTTTTTTTTGTGTTTTGTTTTGTTTTGTTTTGTTTTGTTATATATATATATATATATATAAAAAACAGCCTCGAACTTATCCCTATCCCTGAGATGGGCGAGCAAAAAGCGAGGACAGTCTCAGAGGCAGGCCCTCAGAAACCGAGGGAACCCTGAAGATCGGCATCGAGGTGAGGTGATGTCAAACATAGGGATAGGGATATGTTTCAAACTGGTAATTTTTCTCGGCGGGGGCCATCGAGGAGCATCCTGGACCCTCTTGCGAAGAGGCCAACGCGCGACATCGAAGCATGCACGGAGAACGGACGTCCCGGCGAGGGTGCGCTTCTGGGGGCGCTCCACGGGCCATGGGGATTTCGAGAAACGAGCCAGGAGGAAGCACTGGCCCTGTGCTGACTGTAGGGAAGCAGATCCGAGGCCCCAGAACAATGGGACTGGCTTGTTCTGGACCATTTACCGCCTGACCCCGAGGCCGTGCCTCCTCCTGGCCTTGACGTGAGGCCTCTCCTTCTGTCCCCCCCTCTTTGTTGATTCAAGCTTCGCGCGGCCCGCTTAGCTTCGACCCGAAGAGGTGCGCTCTCGACCCGCGAATCAAAAAAAAGACTGCGGGGAAGCAGATCCGAGGCCCCAGAACAATGGGACTGGCTAGTTTTGGACCACTTTCGGCTCTTGGGGGCCCTCAACGGGCCGTGGGGGCGGTAAAAGATCGGCTCGGCATGAAAAACCGGCTTCGGGGAAGCTGTTCAGGCTTCGGGGACCGGCTCTCGGGTCCCTCTCGGGCCCCGGGATTGCAAACAAAAAGCATATCAGGATCTAGACGCTGCTCTTGTGCGGTTACATCCTGAGTCGATGCTGGTATATCCCTGGTCGACACTTGGTCCAATCTGGCTCAATCCCGTTGAATCTTCCTTCATCCAGTTTTATCCAGCTTTATCCCGTTGAATCTGGCCTAATCTTGGGCGTAATCCGGTCTAATCCGACTCAGTGGCCCTTTATAGGGGCTTGATCGCCTTTGATCGTTCTGACGAAGACCTCCCAGGAATTGCCTCCGAACAGGACGAAGACGTGGCCCTGGGAATCGTGTTCTGTGTTTCTGACCCGCTTTCGTGCTGTTGGGGCCCTCCCGGTGCCGCTGGTCCGAGAGCTCCGCGGGGAGCTCCCCGGCAGCGCATGCCTGCGCTCTTGTCTGACGGGCCCCGAGCATCTTCGCCGTGCTCGGGCCCTCGGGGCCCTCCCGGGCCACAGGACCGTCCACGAGACCGGCTCGGGATGGAAAACTGGGCCCGGGCGAGTGCCCGGCTCGCCCCGCGGCTGGCCGCGCGGCGCGCCGCGGGCCCCCTGGGCAGCTCGGCGGCTCATGGCGGGTCTGCGCCGCGGCCTGCAGGCTCGGCCTGCGCGCGCTCGGCCCGGGGCCGGCGCAGTCGGGCGCGGCCGGCGGCGGCCCAGAGCGAGCGCCAGGGCCCAGAGCTCTTTTTTCCCCGAGGGCCGGCGTCCGCCCGCCTGCCGGCGAGGCGCCTCGTCCGCCCTGGCCCGGCCCGTGCCCGCGGCTCCCGTGCGGCGTGCTGGCCAGCACGGTGCAGTGCCGTTTTTAACACGTGCTCCGCGTGCGCATCATGTGTTAAAGATGCAGGGACCTAGTACCAAAAACAACGATGAGCTCATGCATACATTTATTCATAAGTTAATCATTTTTTTTGTTTTGTTTTTTAAGGTTAATCATTTTTTTTTTTTTTCTTTTTTTTTTTTTTTTTTTTTTTTTTTTTTTTTTTTCCGCGGCCGCTCTCGCCGGCTCGGGCGTCTGTGCCCGAGCGCCGGTGCCAGGCCTCTGCAGCTTCGGGGGCGGCAAAGAAGGGGGTGATGGCCAGGGGGGGGTTGGATTCTCTCGGGGGGACTCTGCAGCTTCGGGGGAGGCAAAGAGAGGGGTGATGACCAGGGGGTGATGACCAGGGGGGTGATGACCAGGGGGGGGTGATGACCAGGGTGATGACCAGGGGGGGTGATGACCAGGGTGATGACCGGGGGTGATGGCGGGGGCCATAACATCTCCCCAGATTCCATGGCGCCTTCTCTTGTTTCATTACGTCCCTGGGGCCCCCGCTGGGCCGCGCACATGCCGCCGGTCATGATTTGCACCCCCCCCTCTTGGACACCCCCCTCTTGGCCGCTCCCGATAGCTGCGCAGGCGTCCCGAGTCGTCTCGTGCTGGTGCGGTTTCTCGGGGGTCGCCATGTGGGTGTTTGCTCCAAGGGGGGTTGGCGGGTCCCGTCTTCAAGTTCTCGGGACGAGGGGCGGTGCAGTCTTCCTCTTTGGTTCTGTAGAAGGCTAAAAATCAGGAGGGGAAACACACACACAGACACAACGGGAAAATATGGGATGTGGGGGGGAAGACAAATACCCAGAAAATATGTGAAAATATGGGGAATCCTGTTATTTGTGTGTATTTATTTGTGTGTCCCATGGCCCCTTCATACTAGAGGTAGTCGGAGGAGGGATGGACGGACACTTCGCGCTGGCTTGGTAAACCTTTCTCGAGTGAATATCTTTCTTGCGCTCTGGTGTCTCGATTCGCGAGTTAGGCTCTGCTCGACGCGCAGGCCGCAGCCTGCTCGGGGACTCCAGGACGTCAGTCTTTGGGGTCCTGCCCACCATCCCCCCTTCACTTTCCTCCCCCCTCCCGCACGTCGCCCTCGTGTGCTCTCCCCCTCTTCTCCTGCCTCCTCCGTCCTCCTCGACAACTTGGCATCGCTCGGACGTGCGCATTTTTCCTTCGGCGAGGACCATCGAGGAGTATCCTTGATCATTTATTCGGCGAGAAGACCACGCAGGAAACCGAAAAACGCACAGGGAATGAACGTCCGAGCGATGGCCAGACAATTGTATACACGATGAGCGCAAACCTCCTCTCTTCCCTGACTCCGTCTGGATGATAGCCGATTCTCTCCGCGCTTTGTCCTATGCGCAGAACTTCGACAAAGGTGGTCC